CTATGATTAAACAAAATCTGAACTTAATAAATGGTTGATCAAGTTGTTTATACATAAATGTTACGTATATGTATAATATATTTCAAGATTAGTTCAAATGTAATAATGTAAAATGTATAACTGAAAGAAAATTGAGATTCTTAACCCTTCAATGCTTACGTTGTTATATTGTTTAATCGTGAGTGCAGCACACTGTGTATAGCTATCCAATCCAGCTTTAATTGCTTATAACTTATAACTTTTATAAGAATAAACATTGTAACACATTTTTTAAATCAAAACGCCAGGCATTAAGGAATACAACAACATGTAAAAAAATTTATAAGCGATAAAGTTAGTACAGAAGTTTTAAAAAATACGATTTTTCGGAAAAAAAAAGCCATTGAGAATGGCATTGAAGGGTTAGTTATTAGTATTTACTAATAGTCTCGCAATTTACCTCCTTCTCATGTTTCGCCTCCAGTGACTCGAAAGCGTATGCGCCGATTAGACAATAAGCAACCACCAAAGAGATTAATGTCACGTGAGAGAAGATGCATCTGCTGAATTTCCACAGCAGCCGGAGGAATCTGATGCATCTCGACGGTTTCTCCATTTCCACCACGTCGAACACTTCCGTTCGCGAGCGCGGCATTTTCTACTTGCCTCCTTTAGATCGCGGGTATCCTCTTATTAGATTTTCCATTTACATAGCGAGCGCGAAACCGCGCTTTACCTTCATCACTTAGCTTTAATTGCTAATAATTAGATTTTCTCTCTGATTCCACGTAATGAATTTATTGATTTTATATATATGTACATATATAGTTATGGAATTTAATATTTCTATTTAATATTATTGTTTAAAGACAAACTGATCGACATAAATTTGGATAGACTGATTTAAATATAAAAGGAAATAATCATTGCAAATTTAAATGCAAGAAAATAGAATTTATAAATATATCAAGAAGAGAGAGAGAGAGAGAGAGAGAGAGGGAGAGGGAGAGAGAGGGGGAGAGCACGTAACTAATATTGCGTCGATTTTCGATTCTGTGATAAACGGAAAAGGAAAAGTCTATAAAATCAAAAAGCTTTTTAAATAACTTTTTTAACTTTTGCTTTTCCCTATACGTCACGAATATATAAATATCAAATAACCATCAATAAATAATCATGTACGTATGAGAAATATCGGATTATGTGACAAACGATTAAATGCAAAATATTTCTCTCACATATCACTACTATATATTTTTAAGAATATATAACAGTAAATATCAAAGCTTTATTAACATTTTTTTTAAATTCACGCGTTTTATGTATTACGAGATTAAAAGTATTGAAAAAAAGTCGGTGCTCCCATTCCGTTTTTATTCTTTTTTTTTGTATGTGCAATAACTATTGCAAACAGCGAATTTATTCGTATTGAACGTATCTAGTACAGCCTTGAGGTAAATAAACTACATAAGTTCCAAGAAAATCAATATATATATATATAAGAATCCTTATATATATATATATAAAAGAATCCTTATTCTTCTGTATGTATTTACTACTTCTAGACACAAATTAAGGTTGGAAATTTCCATTAACTTTACACGAAAAAAATATTATTAAAACAAGTAGTAAGGAACTATATAAAAATAATATTATAATAATTAAATAAATCCAAATGATAATTAAATAATAATAAGTCATATTATATTAGCATCATTTTCTAAAAAAATATAATTACATTATATAAATATTTATGTGTATAAATATATATATAATGTATGTAATTGTGCATTGGTGGAAAAACTCTTTTCTGATGCACATATGTTATATATAATTAATGAGAAATTATTCAATATTTTCATATTTTTTTTAATCAAGCGTGTTTTACAAATAAATCGTTATTGCTATAAATACAATTTTTTGTCATTATAAATCAGGGCCAATTTTGAATTTAAATTTATTCATCAATTGATTAATCGCACTGTGCGCAAATGTAATTTTATTTTATAAAAGTTGCATTTGCGCATAATACGATTAATCAATCGATGAATTAAAAAATTCGCCTATTATTAATGATTAAACAATCTGTTTTTTTATCTCGAAATTGATTTATACTTTTTCTCGATTTATGCTCAGTTGATTTATATCTTTTCTTGGAGTGGGGTAGTCAAGTATTTTTTTTAAATACCAAAATTGTTATATTTACAACAGTGATTACAAATACAAGAAAAAAGAATACGAACGGAATGAGAACGTTGACTTAAAGTAATTTCAGGCTTAACATGATTGTCTATGAAAATGAAATTTTTTCTAAATAATTGAATTTTAAATTAAAACTTATTATATGTATTTTAATTTATTTTGTATTAATATATTTTGTATCAATTTTATCGTCTATTATAAAATTATTCGCATTAAAATAAATTAACGTGATTTAATATTTATATCGGTAAAGCCTTTGATTATTTTAATTATTTAATAAATTATCAATGCTTGTTAAAGAAATAATATTAACTTTAAATTAACTATGAAATATGAGAGTAATAAAATAATAAATATAAATTAAAAATTCAAGAAGGATATGTTTTAGTGTAATTATAAAATATATCGAACGTACACAATGCCTACTTAAAGTATTTAAAGTTACATCAGAGAGCTGCTGATAACTGTAATTAATCGTAATCATACAGCCACGAAAGATAAATCTATTTCGATCGTTTCTCGAATCTTTGGATAATTCTTCAAAACTTCGAATAATCTCTCTTTTAACACAGGATATATTTCGCGTTCACCCGTAAATACCCGAGCACGATTTTCGTCATAAGGACACGCGTGTGATTCTCGCACATTCTTGATACGAAACTAAGGCAGAAACATAGAGCGTAGTTGAGTTACATCCGCGAAGCGGTTGTTCCAAATTTATCTCGGCGTTGAAATTTTGTACGGAAAGCTACGTGGAGAAGGGAGTAACTCGTACGCGGGATCCATCTATAATCAGAGACTCTCACGTTTAACGGGACATGACATAGAAGTTTGAGACCATCACAAAAAGAGACTGAAAAGTTACATTATAACTTATAAATTGCATTATAATAAATTATAATAAATTCATAATTCTAACTTATAGATATTCCAAATTTCTTTATTGATAGAAGTATTAATTATAGTACAATATACTTGGATGAGTCTCGATAAATAATGCGATGAATCCCGATAAATAATGCGACAACGCGTGACCGCGATGAACGCCGAGGCGAATATGTGTCTGGCATCGGTAATTATCGCAGCGGCGTGTATTAATTTGACCATACGGGGGTTACATGAATAAACATGAGGCCACCGATCATGTAAATCCGCCCGTGTGGCGACGGGGAAAAGCACGCAGGAACACACCATACTATGCGATTCTCCACGAAATCAAAGACTAGGGAAGGTGTTTTATTTTTAGTGATGGCTATTTGCAGAGAAAAATGGGATTGATGAAATGAGCGCAACATACAAAAGATTAGTGCAATAATATTTCAGAATTTTGCGAAAGAATTGCGTCTTCACAAAGTTAGCAAAACTCGAATTAATTGCTGAAAAATCAAATACAAGCCCGAAAATCGACTATGTTTTAAATATATATAGAAAGCAATAAAATTTTTCACATATGTTTACTAGAATTTCATGATTACAATTTTAATAAATATATGTGAAAAATTTCATTGCTTCCTATATTTTTAAAAGAGAAAGTATAAACTCTATATGGAGTTTATATTTTCTCTATATGCAATATACAAATTTTGCATTAAATTAAATTTTCTGTTGGTAGGAAAATAATGAAATCGTTTGACAAACCTTATACCCTCGGAAGGCTATTCATCAGTTATTTACAGTTACCTTATTTATCGGTGTATATATATAATATATTTTATTGAAAGAAATTATATGAAACCCTATGCTGCAGTATTGTCAGTCGGCAAAGTTATTTCAATTACCACGCGGATTATTTGTCTTAAAACCATAATGATGTATACGAATCGGAATTAAAAAATGATAATTTTTATGTTTTATGAATGTATATATTATATATAATAAATCTGAAAATTTTTTAAAACTTTTTTTAATGTAAACGTTTTTTAATGTAATACAGTTAGAATAAAATTAAATAACTTTAGCTTAGTGATAATAATAAATTACAACTCCTACTTATAATATTAAAAATTAAATTGTTTAATGAAATGAAAATTGTTATTGATGAAAAAGTTATTATGCTTATATTATCACATTTCCTTAAATTAAAGTTGCAATTTAAATTAAGTTACGTCGTTTGATACATATACTTTCGCGATATTTTCTGTAAATTCTAATTTGTTTTCAGGGCTTTCACTTTCATCGACATTCATTAAGCACAAAATTACCTCAATGTTAAAAAAAACCAACTGCTGTTCTAAAGAAGAGCACTTCAAATGTATTTATTTACGTAAAATTATTCTTATATTTAGAAAATAGTAATGCTCTATCCCAAGAGATGTCGAAATACCTTCGGAAACTTAGACGAATAAAATAAATGTAATTGACTTAACAATTAATAGGAAAGAAAACGTTAATAGTTGCATTTCGAAGTCTCTTTCGATACCGCACGTCGTCGCTTGGTTGATGGAGGGAGCTTATACTGCAATCGCCATCGATTATCCTGACACATGTCGAACGTCGTGCTGACTCATCATACTGATAACATCCGACAATTTGGACACGCACACGATAAGACAATGAGCATTTCAAATGACACTCGCTACAAGCTAAAGCGAACACATTCCAAAATTATATATATCTATATGCAATCCGCCTAGATATAAATTTACATAGACTTATATGTGCTGGTAAACAATAATAAATGCAGGATATTTAGAGAAAGATATGTTTATATCTTCTTGTAATAATTTATTACCTTACAAACAAATATCTTGAAGACAAACATTAAAGGATTGTTGCAACAAACAAAAAATTTTTATCGTGTAAAACAGCACAATTATTATTAATTGACTACGCGAGAAATTCACTGTTTTTCTTAGCTCAGTTTAAAGAACAATTCCCTTCTTAAATAAATTGGTGTCAGCTAATTTTACTGTCATTTTATTTTAATATTATATTTTTTCATTCTGAGTCATTTATGTTCAACATAGTATTAACTAAAAGCTACTTGTGGGCGTGAAACATATTATTGTATAATAACATATAATAATTTTTACATATTATTTAATATTACATATTATATTAAATAAGCATAAATAAAAACAGTATTTAATTAAATAAGACAAAATGAAATATGCCATTTTATCTGCCAATATTTCAGCTTGAAAAACAGCCCACAGTTTTTAAGTTTCAAAAAATACAATATTATTTTATTCTCGCATATAGACCAATGACGTCATGCGAATCGACTTTTCTGACTTTTATTGACTCGTATCTACAATGGTCCCTTTATATCGATATATCTCATGATGACACATGAATCGCCCTCTTATGTTTACAACCGACATTTATGTCGAATAGTAAATAACAATCGATTTTCATCGTATAGAAAGCGATCGAGGTTCATCATAAGAAAGAAAGATTTCCAAAATCACGAAGCGGTTATAAACAAATGAGAAAAAAGGATCATACTTTCATATTCTCATTAATAAAGGCTATGATATTTGGAATTATTTAATTTAATATTCTAATACCAATCAAAATTGAAATAAATATAGAACCATGATTACGTACGGGAAGTTATCAGCGCTATTGTGTTATTCTTTCCTTGTTTTATGTCTAATGAACAATAAAATTAAAATGGCACAATAACGCTGATAGTGCGCTCCCATAACGCAGTTTGTACCATACTGACCATAATATTTTCTTTATTCATTTTCTCTCTTATCAAGTGCGATAAAAATTGAAACAGTTTCATTTTAATTTTTGTACTAAAAATTTACAAAAATCAAACTGCTTCGTGATTGCGGAAAACTGGTTAAATCAAAAATAGTCTTTACAATATTGATGCTTATACACCTCACAGCATTTCAGTCGTCGGAATGGTATGTGTCAATACCTTTTAGTACCATTCCAAAACATAATTTTAATGTCTCGATTAGACATTAAAAAAATTTTTATATATTTTATTGTAATTGTCTAAATATATTTTCGGCATAACACACCTATAATGTAACTAATAATTTCGCGCCTTCATTTTTCTTTTATATAATTTCTTTATACGCTTTGTTAAATGCAACTTTAAAAGTCCGCGTTAACTTTTATTAAATTTAATGTTACGTGTAATCCGTATATTGTATCCAAATATAATCCGTCTACTAATACATTGCACTTATTCGCTATGGCTATCGATCAATCGCAAACTGATATTTCATATTGAGCATATATAAGACTTATATGAGAGAAATTATTTACAAAAAATGAAGAAAAAGAATACTGCAGTTTTCTTACGAATATAATCCGGTCACTCAATTTGCCATTCGAATCAAAAATTTGCGTATCGTTGTCGATACAAATCAAACTGCAATTACGCTCAGCCTAGAGATAATTTTCATTTCGCGGGCTAATGGATGCCTGAAAATTATCGTGTTAATAGGACTGGCATAAATTGACTATAATAATTTCTCATCATAAATTGCTTGCGACTTTATTCAGCTAAGATTTAGAATATGGATTTGCTCGATAATTTTTTTATTAGAATTGAATCAACTTTAATAAAGACTGTGCGTGTGCTTAAAAAACTTAAAAAATTAAATCCCGTTTTTTATATACGCTACTTTACTTTAGGCGATATAATGAATTTCTATATTAAATTAATTCACAAACGATCAATTGTTCCGGTCTCAAGTCAAATAATGTTCTTGATTGATAACCTTATTTAATAAGGCTGAGAATATTTGTCGTTCAAGACACGACTATATACTTATATATATACTGACAGCACTATCATCAGACAAAGGTTATCGATCCACGCTCTTTTCACACACGCACGCAACAACACATAGAAATAAAAGACGCGGTATTACGCTGTCACTAGAAATGAATCCACTCTATCGGTTACACCAATCCCTATTATCTGTTCAATTAAATCTCTGATCAAGTCCCACCGGCAATTACCTCCCGCTGATAGATTCATCGCTTCTCAACCGATCAAATCTTCACGAGAGAGAGAAAGAAACGAAAGTAAAAAAAGAGGGAGATCAATCTCTGACGCTATCTCGACCCGAAGAAGCCGAGAGTTTTCAGGGTGTCGGTGACTCTGTTGATTAGCTTATCCTTGTAACGCCATATCGTCGTGTCTACCACACTATTCTCTCGATATTCCACGCATGTTTTCTTTAACGATCGCACGCAATCGGCGCGATAATGCTGTAGTTGCGCATCCTCGGTCTCGATAGGATAACTGGTGCATCCAGCACCCAGACATGCCAGGGGAAAATGGTTGTGCAGAGTGACCACTCGTTCTGGATTATGGAAGCACTTGATGTATTGATTTGGTTTCGTAAAATTCTTCGAACGATACACGTGTTGAAGCATGTGCATATACCTATGAGAAAAATGTTAAAATCAAGAATACATATCTTGTGAGTTGAAATTTCTTAGAGAAGATAATAAGATTTGAAGATGTTCAGAATTAACTATAAATTCCAATTCAAAATCGACATAGAAACATTTTTTTCTCAAAGCAAAACTATGACGATCAGTTTTTCATATGTCACACAGTTAATTTTTTCGATCACTTTATTAAAATTAAAATGAAGATATGAACGTATATATATATATATACATATAATAAGAATCATATTATACGTAAATTTTTCCTCAACAAACAAATTCATTCAATTATCAAACTTCCTATTTCTCCTTCAAGATTATAATTTTCGTTAATTCGTCGCAAAAACAAATTCGTGACTCTGATTACCGACGTATACCGAGTACCTATTTGCGAGCCATCCACCTTCGCATTCCCTTCACGGACAGTCGATTTGTGCGCGGCGTGAAAGTGGAAACCTTACTTACTTGGGTATGTCCTTGAAGTAACCATGAGAGTGCAGTAGGTCGTCGAGGAAGTAGACGTTTCTGACGTTGTACGAGGCACGGGTCTCGTTCCGTATTTGTAGGGCCTTGGGCAATACCCGGTGCATCAGCTCTTGCCAGGTCGCGTCCTTCACGGGCATAATCACTTCGTCGACGTCCAACAGTGCGATATACTCATACTCATACATGTGCTTATACAAACAATCGTTGTAAGGTATTAGTTCATTTTGTCGCTTGTGATTGGTTTTCTTCGTGAGATACATGTGCTGGAAGGCGGGTACGTTAGGCTGTCCGCCGGGCAGGGTCAATGGGGTCACATGCGCCATACCCAGACGCTGATAATGCCGCAGCACCTTGGTCACGTTCGGGTGCACCTGCAGCTCGTAAAAGTAGATTTTGTCAGCACCCAACAGGCTGATCAGCTCGATCCATTCAACTAGTCGAACCGACAGATCCTCGTGCAGAAAGTCCAGACCCTTTACGCACACTGCAAAGTCCTTTTTACGTTTGGGCTTGTTGTAAATTACGCGGAGATGGTTGGTGGCCGTGTCGCAACGTTTCTCCACTATGGAGATGGACGACGGTGGCTTACCGTACGTTTGTGGTGGCACCCTACATGCTATCACGTATGGCTGATAAATGCCCTGCTTGTAATTGCCCCATTTAGGATACCATATGTACTTGTATTCGAGCGTCTCGACAATCTTGGGCTCATTCTCGCCTTCGTACCATAATTGACAATACGTCTTCACGATTGGTTCAATCCGATCGATCATGCTAACGATCCTTACTGCCGGCCCAATCTTGGATAATTTCCGATTGTCGTAAAAAGCACCGAAAAATTGAAACGTGCCATTATTAGTTCGCAACGTTTGCCAATAGATATTATTGAATTCTAAATCGTAGATCTGTGGGTATTTAGCGCAGCTCTCATTGCTCCGTTTTGTCAGTTTGCTATTTTTGGACCAATCGCTCAGCGGTAAACTCGGTATTCTTTCGGCGATCTCCTCGATTAATTGCTGTTCGGTCTTGGCAGGTCTTTTATCTAGCAAAGGTTCCAGCTCGAGCGGATTTATCGTCGCTTCTAAACGGTTTTTAAGAGTAGTTAGGGTGGTCAGCAGAGGGCCGTTGCCGCCGCCAAAGTTGGTAAAATCGCTCAGTGACGACCTTTCCAAGAGAATTCGGGATAGACTCAAACTCCCTGAAGAATCTCGACTCGCACCTCGATCGTTGTTGATGCTACCGACCTCCACCAGGTTGCCGTCCTCGGCCGTGGGACCACTGTCCTGACGCAAAACTCTGTTTTCCAAGTGACGAAACTGTACCACCGCGATCATCAGCAGTCCCCAAGCGAACACGAAGACGAAGGCACGCTTCGCGCATTTTGATGAACTGCCGCCACAACTCTGTATCGTTGTCATCCTGTTGGTTTTCCCGAGATGTCTTTCCGATCAACACCTGGACGATACTGGATTGTTAAATCTCCGTATAAATCTTCCTCTGTGAATTTAACCGTGTCCTCTTCCTCCGAGGACCGAATCTGAAACAGGAAAGCTCGTTGTCCACAAAGTGTCGATTGAATTGTAAAAACGATCGTGCGAGTAACAAAGACAAAATTATGCTGATTGTTTTATTATTTGATCAAAAATTATTTTTTCTATTCTTGTTAAGATCTTGGAGATATATTGATAAAAATTTATTCACAAGCAATTAATTTCGCTAAAAATTAATAAAAATTTAACAAAAGTTTCAGTTCGTATTTTTCAATTTTTAAAATAACTCTTTGCGAATAATTTAAAGATTATCGGAAATAAATTTAAGAAAGAGATATGTCTAGAAAAGGGTAAACTCAATGGGTGACAATCCAAATTAAAATCCAGGGATTCTTATTTATTAAATCACGATACTGTTTTAGTTGGAACGTTGGGAAATCATTCTTTTCAAGAAGAAGAAATAAGACAAATGATTTATCCGCAAGTAAACGATACGAAAGCTACAAAGTAATCCATGACTAGTTGACAGAATTTGGGGCAAGAGACGAGATAATGTCTTTAACTGTATAAGGACACCCGCTACTGGTAACCAGTACTCGACTATCATCAAGAAAGCGAGCGACCCTGTCGGGCGAAACCCCGTTGGCCGGACCGGGCGAGTCTCAGGAGAGCAAAAGAAAACGAGAGAGAGAAGGAGCGCGAGACCCGCTCGCCGGAGATACGTGGAACCGGTTATGCTGATGGCAAACTGTTTTTCACCTTTTGCACTTCGCTTCAACTAACCTCCTCCCTTCCTGACAACCTCGGGTCTTTTGCCCGACGATATTTCTCTTCGTCTCTCCCTAGTCTCTTCCTTTCCTTTCCCTCTAAACCTAGGCGATGATGGCGGACTCTCAGGATCAAGTTTGACCGCAACCTAGGATTTTCTATGAAGACTCTACCTCTGCTACGTTTGCTTTATTGTGTATGCGTCTATATGTGTTTGTCATACTTTTTATACCTACGAAATATTTAATCTAGTGACAGTATTTATAATAATAGAATAATAATTTTTTCCTGCTAACTCTCTATCATATGTTAATTAAAATTCTCTCAGTATACAGAGATGTATTGAAAGAAAAAGTACACCAATTTCTCTTTCTTTTTTAGTAGCTTTTTTAAAAAAGCATTGATAAAAAATATACTATAAAAAGAATACGTTTTGAAGAACTTTTAATCACAATAATTATTAAATTAAAATATTTTTGTTTATTCCAAATAAATAATTTTATAGATTACATATTGAAGTTATTTACAGTATAAAAAAAAACTATGTTACAGCGATAATAATTATAGATGCACACAAGATTGACACTGATCTTACGATATATAATTAAGTCTTCGAAAAAAATCATTAATTCGAATTTTCATGATACAAAATGTTGCTAGAAGGGATGAAGAGATATATTCTTGAAGATAACTTCAATAAAATTATATATACAGTTCCTTTATATAATCGATTGCGATGTTATATTACGAACATAATTGAACCGGCGATTAAATGCATATGTGAAAGACTCTAGTAATCGTAGTATATACATATAATGATCAAATTTATGCACTTTTTGCACGATTTTCGCTTGATGATTTTTCGACGGCAATACAATATCTGACTTCTTAAATTAAGCAATTGTCTATATTCAAGGAATCACTAATTAACTATTATTTATTTGATCTACCGTCACGCCCCAAGTTCGATAAACGACGTTGCAATTGCAATACGAAAGTGTAACTTGTGTACGTGCGAGCGCGATGCCACCTCGTTCCCGTTTAATTCAGGCCCGTTCTTATCGTCCCGTTTGGAATTAGCAATCCCGCACAACAGCGGATCGACCGGCCAGAACGTAAATTGCGCGGAACGAACGTGTTTATATCGATTCAATCGTCATCGTTCAATACAACCCTTCCATTACGTTGAGTCTATGTTTATCAAAAGAGAAATTTGAATATTTTCTGAAATTTTTCTCTTGTAAATAGGTCGAAACTTTTTCACTAATGAATAAGCTGTTGTACTTTTCAGATTTTTATTGATCAAGATTTGACAAAATTGATTTTCATAATTACATTGTTTCCTATGTTTTAATTTATACGGCATTCTTGTCTCTCTCTCCCTCTCCTCCTCCCCCCTCTCTTTCTCATCGTCAAATTTCAAATCATAATAATTCAATAAAGGACACTCAAAAAAACGTATATTCAAAAGTTTCCAGGTTTTACATACGTTTAAACATATTTAATATACTTTCTATTAATATATTTATTAATTCGCTCCAAAATTACAGATGCTAAATGGATCAATAATTTTCATAGTCGATTTTCTTAATAATCGAATAAGACAAAACCCGTTCATATTATAAATTAAAAAGAAATACCGATGATTGCAATAAGAAACAAAGTAAGTTAATGTTAAATCACACATAAGCTGAGGAGGAACTTGACGGTAAATAGACATATTCAAAAACAGTTCAGCATTTATTTACGATCAACGCAACAGAATTTATAAATGACGACACGGCTAACATTTAAGAGAAAGCAGGTTAACAAGCCGAAAATGTGAGCAAAGTTTGACTCACTTTTCTTGGGAATCTCCGATTCGACGAAAAAATTAACAAATATTATTGCTCTTTGTCCCAAGCGGGAGAGAATTTCTTGCTCTTTGAGAGAAATTCTTTAAGATTAAAGATAGCAATATTATTTCTTATCTCTAATCTCTTTATTGCTAGTAGTAATTCTCATTTTTTCTGAGACGTGAAATAAAGAGTATGATAAATGAGATAAAATTAATAATATTAGCCTATATTATAACCGTGATAATTAACTTTCACTTTAATGTCATAACTTCAATATTAAGACAAAATCTCTTTACTAAATCTTTTTAATACAGCTTTCATTAGATGAATAAAGTTAAACGACATACTTATGGAAAATGTAAAGAGTAAATAATATCAGCCTATTTTTCTATCGTATGTATATATATATATATATATATAATATATATCCGTCACGATCTATTCGCACGCGAACTCGAGATTGCCAATAAAATCTTATTGGAAATAATCCTTTCATGCGTTTAATCACGCGTTAATATAATCGCAACGTCATTAAATAGGTAAATATGTATCTTTCATAATCATGATTAGATCTCAAGGTTCTCGATCGAAAAACATAACCGCGAACTCTTGCCTTCCTCGTAACAAAATGCGTTTATCCTGAGCGCGTAAAAATTGTCTATACAATAAAATCTCTCGCATGTGTAATCCTTCTCGTTGATAATCCTCTATTTGCTTACGTCAGTCGCTGATAAATTATTCGTCAATGTTGCGTATATAAAATATATGATAGCTGAGTCATAGTGGCTGTACCACGTGGCTATATAATGATGATTCTGCCAATCTAAACGATTCCACGATTTCTGCAAAAAACATCGATTCGCCAGATTTGATTCATGATCTAGAGACACGATGAGTGTCTTAATTATACTTTGGCGCAGCCAAACCAGTCGATTGATATTTTCACGGTCATCATAAAACAACATGGTAACGTTAATTTTCAAAATTTTTATAAAATGTATAATATTCTAAATGTATCGTATCATCTAATGACATTATAGCATTAAGATATTTCTACGGATCAGATAAAGACTCGTTACGCATGCTCGTGCACGATGCATCTGCATTCTCCATCTTATGTAATTCCATTGCACACCTCCGCGATTTCTTCTTTCATTGCTAACCACTACAGAGAAAGATGAAGAGTGTTAAAGAAGTTATCCTACGCCAGTTATCCCATAAAATCGCCAGTATTATTTAAATTGACAATTTAACCGCTGATAGCTTTAGAATTCCACAAGGTGAATATCCACGAGGCGATTCAATAATAATCGGCATACTTTCAATGAATTCAAATCTTCGATACACATAGACGTAGAAACGATTTAATATACTGGCATATAATATATTTACTTTTATCAATGATGAAAATTGCTCATAAGCTAAAATTTTAATTTGTGTTTCTATATCGAAAGGAAAAATGAAAATTTTACAAAACGAATTTCATTAGTCATTTATTTATTTTTTCGAAAAAAGTAAAAAAAAACTACTACTCTTCACGTTTGTTTCATGCGGCGTAGCGTGATAATTAATATCATGCATCATAAATGACACTTGCCTTAATTCTTTTATTGCGCTATTTTATATCAAAGGTCCATTCTTTCATACACGTAGTTCCGAGAATTGAAATCATCGAAATTAGACCGGTTTCAGTGTGCTCGCTCGAGAGAAAGACAGGAGGAATGACGACATATGTGTGCAGTCCAGCGAGGACGATTTTGTGGAAAGTCGAATAGAGAGAGCGAGTGATGCTGTTACTGCTGCATGCTACTGCTGACTCGTACGTTCGCCTGCTCCAATTGCGATTTCTCGCTTACGCGTGCTAATTAACCCTAATTGTGCGAGGGGAGAAGGAAAGAGAAAAAAGGGGGGTAATCTATCTAGAGAAGGATAGATCGTGGCGCGAATAGAACGGTGGGGACGCTCTATAACAGACGATTTCACCAGTCTCGTCCCATCGTCGATCTTTGCGATTCGAGAGCGAGATAGCATTCTGTCGTGCAATATCGTCTGCAATTGGTGGTACACAACACACACATACGTGCCACGTATATCAAGTAAAGTACAACGGGAACTCTTTTGATTCAATACAGCACGCTTTCGTCGGTGCCACGCAATTCCGGGGCTCGTTTATTATATGTATGTTTTACACAGCGACACAGTATGGCATCATGTGTTTCTTTGTATAATAGAAAATAAGATAGATAACTAAATACATCAATTATTAATTGACATGATATTCATAATTACTTACGTATTGTCGCAGCATAAATGAATACCACGACATTCACGACTTGATAATAATAATTTCTTTAAACTTAATATATATATAGTATCCTAATTATATATTAATATTTAAGAATAAGAACGTTAATAATCAATTTCTTTCTCAAACTCATTAT